ATCACCTAAAGGGCCTGGATTTAGAAGGAATTTTCAAGATTATTGTAACTTCCGGGTTAAGTGTTTAGGGAAAAAAATATTAAAACTACTTTTCTTATACATGATTGGTGTGCTTAGTTTTTATCAATTTGACACTACAGTCCAGATTTGCTTCTGATCACATTGGAATATAGGTTTTACCAATGTTCATTATTTTTCAACTTCCTTTATTAAGACTGGTCCGGCACAGTGGCTCACGCCTGTAATCCCAGCACTTTGGGAAGCCGAGGTGGACAGATCATTTGTGGTCAGGAGTTTGAGACCGGTCTGGCCAAAATGGTGAAACCCCGTTTCTACTAAAAATACAAAAATTAGCCAGGTGTGGTAGCGTACTCCTGTAATCCCAGCTACTCAGGAGGCTGAGGCAGAATTGCTTGAACCCTGGAGGCAGAGGTTGCAGTGGCCTGAGATTGCGCCACTACACTCCAGCCTGGACCACAAAGCGAGACTCTGTCTCAAAAAAACAAACAAAAGACTGCACTAACGCCATCAACGTGCATATTGATTCGAAGGCATCTTGCAGCAATTTTTAAGTTACTGTACATATATATTTAAAAGCATACACTTTATTAGTGTGCTTATTAAGACGTTTAGGGAAAACTTTAAGTGTTCAAAATGTCAAGTTTGTTAGGCATCAATTTGTTAGTGTTTGGGAGTATTGCATTGGATGTCTGGGCAAAATTTTTTCCCCCCATAATATTAAATTATTGGCTGACAGTTAATGAATTTTGCCAATGAGTAAAATAATCAAGAAGTTACGAAAATGGTGAGATACTCAGCTATCTTGGCCTTCAAAACAGTCTATGGTGGATTCTAACTGAAATTTTATATATAAATGGTAAATAATCCACCAAACCCAAGGAGTTAACAATTAAAGTTGGCCTATTTATAGTTCACTTTAATAGCTACAATGGAAGATTCAATTTTGGAAACCCAAAAAGGTCAACTAATTTCAAAACTTCGGCAAGCTTCTATAACAATGTTACCCATTCCTTAGTAAACAAAAAAAGATCCAAAAAGCTATATTCACATTTTTTGCATTGGTTCACAAATTTAAATGAATTTAAATTACTTTTAGAATAGTAATTAGAAGCACTGGGCAGTATGGGAGTTGAGATGTGGGCCTTATTTGGCCCTTAGTAGCTGTGTGAGCTTGGGCAAATCACCTCAACAACTCTATCATCTAAAGGGGAGGGTTGGGACAGACTGTAATTCATGGACTCTTATGAATCCCCTAAAACTGTATGAAAAACTACCATGTATATACACTTTTTGGGGAAGCTGGTCCAGTTTTCATTAGGTTCTCAGAGGCAACCTTGATCCCCAAATAAGCTTGCTATATTAATCTTGCTATGATAACTACATAAGGTTATCACTTCTAAATTGTTCCAGTTCTAAATAGTTATTTCCTTGTCATAGGAAGAATTCTAAGATGGTTCCCAAGATTCGCTGGTATACATACTCCACATAATCCCCTCCCTTGACTGTGAACAGGATCTTTGAATATGATGGATATCACCCCTGTGATTGAACTACAATGCAGGGCAAAGGTGAAGGGATTTTGCAGGTGTAATGAAGGTACTTCATCAGTTTGGCTTTGGGTTAATCAAAAGGGAGATCATCCTGGTAGGTAGGTGGCCTGATCTAATCAGGTGAGACCTTTAAAAGAGCGCTTAAGGCCCTCCCTGAGATCAGAGGTTCTCTTGCTGGCCTTGAAGAAGTTGCCACGATTTCTTCAGTTGCTAGGCAATGGATTTTGCCATATGTGCATAGAAGAGCACCCCCTAGCTTCAGATAAGACTGCAGCTCTTGCTGACACCTTTATTGCAGCATTGTGAGATCCTGAGCAGAAAACCATAACTAGACTCTTGATCCACAGGAATTGTGAAATAACGTGTTGTGTTTTAAGACACTAAGTTTATGGTAATTATACAAAAATTACACAGCAATTATTCTCTAAAGCCAAAATTTAGCTTAATCTTCGTAACTTTTTCCTTGACGAAACTGAGGCAATGGAGAATCCAAAAAGGGTGCCCCATAAATTAATGTTACAATAAACCCGGTCATTTTACAGTGCAGTTATACCTTTAAAGAAACAAAAAACTCCTCACCCTATAAAGTGCTGCTGAGGTGAGCCTAAATGATACACTCCCTTTCCCCCAAATTATTCCAGATCCATTTTTAATGATTAATAGATAGCTCTAATTATAGAAATGCTCCAGGTTTGGTCCAGAGCAATGTGGAAAGTATTATTTCCACCATAACACACAATTACCAAAGTCTTTGAAAATTACAAAGGAAATATATTCAAAGATAGATTTTAGACTAGGGTGTTTCACACACCCGTAATATAATATTCTTATTTTTATAGCACTTGAGGTGGTCTCAATGCTCAAAAAGACAGTTTCAGACATGAAATGTTAAGAACATTTAGCTTATTAGGCATATTATTCTATGCCCCATCCCCATCAGAAATAAGCCTGTGTTAAAAATGATCAATTTCCTATATCATTGGAGAATTAAAAAAAAAAAAAGTGTTTAACTCAGGTAACCGTGGTGAACTGTCAACTGTACTGAAACAATTTCAGAGACAGAAAAGCCCTTCCTAGAATTTCTACTAGAAAATCAATGTTCTATATGAGGCTATAGATGGAAATAAAATATTTAAACGATAAGGTAGTCCTTATACCCAGAGATATTAATATCACCCTTACCTATTTTCCGTATCACTATTCTATACAATAATTTGTATATAAAATTTGTATACAAGCTTACTGGCTTACTTTGAATCCAATATTTTTTACTAAAAAACACAAATTATGTAAAGTATTGCTGTGTTCACCTTCCAATTACTGAAACCTGTACTATGCTTTGTGTACAATCCATCGTTTGGAGCTGTATGTTGAAGATACAGCAATACTCAAAATACAGTTCAAGTTGTCTCGGTCTGTTTTACTGTAGAACGAATGAAAGTTAAAACCTTGGTTTGGATGGGGAGAAAACAGAAGCACAGATGGTGTCAACTGGACAAATTCAATGGGCTAAAATATTACTATGTCCATACGGAAATGACAGAACCGAAGAAATTTCTTGTTATGCTGGTTCTAGGTAAAAAGACAAGAAGCTAATGTAAGCCATTGAATTATACTCTAACTTTACAAAAAAAAAAAAAAAAAATCCACACATCACACACACACACCCCATGTAAAACATTGCTTTAAGTTTTAATGTTTATTTCCCCAAGACAGCCTAGCCTGCACTCTACTTGGATAAATTTTACAAGCTAGTTTTCTGCTGCTTCTAGTTTTAAACTTTAACCATGTTTCTGATGACAAGGAATGCTGCAAAAATACTCTAGTTCAACAAAGAGTTATGATCACAAAATAATTTTTATCCATTCTACAGTGTTTCAGAATTACCAGTTGATTTTTAAACACAAAGTAGATATAGATGCTAATGGTGGCTAATCTGGTATGTTTCTTATAGCAAACTGTTGTTCATGCAACACTTGTGCTCAAAGGGGAAGGCACAGGATTTCCTACAATGAGCCACCTTATAAAGAGTTCTTTTTGTACAAATTAATTTATGTCACATTTAATTTAGTGTGCATAACCTCAAAACTGAGGTATTATTCCAATTTATAAAAACCACTTGCATAACTTTTATGCAAGTTTTAAAAATACAAAGTTTTCTCCCTAAAGTGGCTCAAAATAGATTGTTCATGGCTGCCTACATCTAAGATAAAAAGATTCTAAAACAATTGAACAGATTAGGCATATTATTAAAGGTGTTCAAACCATTACTTGATTTGTACATCTACTCAAACCTCTTCATCGGTCTTTATTCAGCAGTACATATGCACCAAATTCCATTTTAGAAGTTTCCATATCATTTTCATAGAAAACAAGGTTTGAAAACAAGTAACATTTAAACACAGCACGGTATTCTACCACAACTGAAACTTTTTTCTTCTTCTTCTTTACAGGACTCAACAAAATCTAAAAATGAACTATGCTGTAGATTTACCTCATGCAAAGATCTTTATGTTATCTCTGAAAATGAAAAGGATGGCCTTTTAAGCACATTTTACTGTTTTATACTATTATGGCAACTTGTGTACTGCAACACAGTCTATTTTGAGGGAAATTTATGATTTTTTTTCATGCAAAAATCTACACAAATTAGTTTTGATGATATGGAAAGCTTTTCATAGCATCAAACATTCATCTGGTGCAAATGCACAGGGAAACCTTCCTGAAAAGTTTTCTGACTTGAGAAGCAACTAAAAAAAAGGCATACTAGGTAAAGTAAATAAAGACTTAAAAAAAAAAAAAAAGGAAAAAAAAAAAA